CCTCCCACATCACTCATCAAGAAGATGCTCCTCAGACATGGCCACAGGCCAGTCCAATAGAGGCAATTCCCCACTTGAGCTCCCTCAACCCAGGTGTGTCAAGTTGACATTAAAGCTATCCAGCACACTTGGGGACTTAAGGCTTTGGCATTAGTGTTTTTGAAATGAGAAAGCAAGTAGTCCGAACTGACAGATAAATATGTGCAACTATTGTGTGCCATGTGGCCTGTGAAGTCACAAGTGGGATATAAAGATGTATTCAGTTTCGTATACTTATTTGGCATCTATATGCCAAGTATCTGTATAACATGTACCTAAGCTGCTATGAAGATTCTTGTACATATCTCTTTATTTGCTTTTTTGTGGGGGGGTCTGTGGGTATTAAGCCAGGAGTGGAGTTGTGGGTCAGAAAGTCCACATATGTCTAGATTTAGCCACACTTACCTTATCCTTTCTTCCACTGTGCGTTTTTGCTTATTATGTGTCTTTGGTTGCCTTTATGCATAGAAACTGTCTCTGAAATTTTTTGAATGCCCCAGTAGAACCATGACACGACCAGTACACAGGCTTTCAGTTCATTCACTTTGATTCAACATCTCTTGGTTCGGTTGGCACTAAATCCAACTCATTGTAGCACTGCTCAGTCCTTTCCTAATCTCAGTAGCTGTGAGCTTTGCTTTGTGGCCTGTTTTTCTGTTGCGCCAGCACATCTTCCTCCCCCTCCCCCTCCCCCTCCCCCCCCCCTCCTCCTCCTCCTCCTCCTCCTCTTCTTCTTCTGAACTAATGAAGGACAGATCAGGTTAAATCATTTCCAAGATCCAAAGGATAATTTAAATTCATGCTCTGACATTCTAATTTTTGTTTCCTGTACTGACATCATTTTCATTTGTACTTGAGCAAGCTCCTTCCCCATCTCCACATCTTGACAACAAACCTTCCTTGTCTGACTGTGTGTATAATTTATATATACATTTTTGAAAAATATATGTACAGTTTTTGTTGAGACAAGGTTTTGATAAGTAGTTCTGTCTGGCCTAAAACTCCCTATGTAGACCAAGCTGGCCTTGAGCTTGTAGCAATCCTCCTGTGTCTGGTTCTTCAGACGGAATAGCCGTGTGTGTGTGTGTGTGTGTGTGTGTGTGTGTGTGTGTGTGTGTGTGTGTGTGTATATACTGCGGATCAAATCCAGGGCCTCATGAATGCAGGGCAAGCAAGCATTGTACCAACCAAGCTATATCCCTAACCAGAATACCATTTTAACTGGACCAGATTTTAAAAAATTATTTGTTTATATTTTTATGAGTATGAATGTTTTGCTTGAATGTATGTAAGTACACCATGTATATATAATGCCCACAGAGGCCAGAGGAGGATGCCAGATCCCTTGGAGCTGGAGTTACGGAAGGTTGTTAGCTGTGGTGTAGTTCATGGAAACTGAACCCAGATCTTCTGCAAGAGCAACCAATGCTCTTAACTGCTAAGCCATCTTTCCAGTTACCTGGACCATTTATTTTCTTTATGTTCTGTTGTTGATTATTAGATTGGGCTATAAAATAAAAAATAGGGGTTATGCCATTAACAAATTAATACTTTTAAAATGTCCATAATGTAATGGAAAATGAAAAGGTTCACTTTAAGAGACTGAAGCAGGATCCAAGGAGATGGCTCAGCTGGTAAAGGTGCTTGATACCAAGCCTGATGACCTGAGTTCAATTCCTGGTAGAAGGAGAGAGCTGACTCCTGAAGTTATCTCCTGACCTCCACGTGTGCTGTTGTACACATGCCTATATATACATATACAAAATAAATTTTAAAATTGAATAAACTATTTTAAAAAGATTTAAGGAAAGTAGCTTGTCATGGTGGTGGATCTCTATAATCTCAGCAGTTGGAGGTTGGGGTGGAAAGATTACTTAAGCATGGAAGTTAGAGAGCAGCCTGGACAACATAATAAGCCCCTTTTTCAGAAAAAGTAAGTAAAAAGATTAAAGGAATACTTCAGATGATAACTCAAGTGGGCATTAAAATGCACATTCAGCATTTGAGATAAAGACATTGAGCTTTTCCCTCTTAATGGCACCTTTTTATTTATTTATTTTTTTTGTTTTATGTGTATGAATGTATTGCCTGCGTGTATGTAAGTGCACTCATGTTGTGCAGTGCTGGCAGAGGTCAGAAGAGGTTGTTGGATTCTCCTGGAACTGGAGTTATGAGTGATTGTTAGCCACCATGTGGCTGCTGGGCCTCGAAACTGGGTCCATTTCCAGAGCAGCCAGTGCTCTTAACTGTTGAGCCATCTCTCCAGCCTCTCTTAATGGCGTCTTACTATAGTGATTAAGATAGGACTGAAAGAGAAAAGGGAGAAGCAGAAGAAGTGGCTGAAGGAAGTTTCATTAACACAAGCTGTGGGCTAGAAAGATGGCTCAGTGGGTGAAGTGCCTGCCATGCACTGAGCTTGGACTGCCAGCATCCATGTGAAAACAAGCTAGTGTTGTGGCAAGCATCTAGAACCTCGAGGCTGGAGGTTGGTCAGAGATAGGAGGATCCCTAGGGCTTGCTGTCCACTCCGTCCAACCAAGCAGCAAGCTCCAAGTTCAATACTAGACCCTGTCTTGAAAAACAATGTGGAGAGTGACAAAGGAAGACACTCAACATCAATAAGCTTTGGCCTCCATCTTCATGCATGCATGAGTGCACTTGCAAACACATGTCCACACAAACACGTACCACACATGCACCCCTGCAAATAAAATAAAATTAAAATTAAAAATGAATACAAATTGTACAGATACTGTGAAGGTATTTAGGAAAAAAAGAAGAGGTGGTGCAAGAGAGATGGCTAAGCAATTAAGAATCTTTTTTTTTAATTTAAAAATTTTTTATTTTATGTGTATGAGTGTTATGCCTACGTGTAAGTAAGTGCACCCATGTTGTGCAATGCCCCAGGAGGACAGAAGAGGCTGTCGAATCCCTTAGAACTGGACGAACAGTTGTTAGCTGCCATATGGGTTCTGGGATTCGAACCAGGGTCTTCTGCAAGAACAGTCAGTGTCCTTAAGCACTGAACCATCTCTCCAGCCCCAGCCATTAAGAATCTTTACTGCTCTTGCAGAGAACTCAAATTCAACTCCCAGAACCCAAGTCAGTCAGACACAATTGCCTGGAACTTCAACACCAAGAGATCTGATGCCCTCTCCTGGCCTCCTTCAGTGTGCAGTTACATACAGAAGTCAACTCACAGACACATACATATACACTTAGTTAAAAATAAAAATAAATCTTACAGGCTGCAGAGATGGCTCAGTGGGTAAGAGCCTTGGCTATTCTTGCAGAAGACCTGGGTTTGAATCCCAGCACTCACATTCCTAATAACCATCTGTAACTCCAGTTCTAGGGAATGCAATGCCCTCTTCTGACTTCCACAGGTATTGCATGACATGGGTGCAATTACACAAATGCTGGCTAAATACAGTCATACACATAAGAAATTTAAAAAAAATTCTTGGAAAAAAGAAGAGGTAAGTCTATGAGCTTTCTTGTCTAGGGAAGGCAATGAAGTGCTACATTTTCTGTAGCTGTTTAGGGTCATCTGTTTTTAGCTACTCTTCCCTCCCCACCACCAGATGACAACAGCAGTAATAGTAAAATATGTATGTTTTCCCATCCCAGAAGGAAACCCAAATCCTGACAATGTTCCCATGATATGCCAACTCCCCACTGGCCAGTGTCTCCCTTCTCCTCAGCCTTTACTACTTTCTCCTTTTCTGTTTCTTCTTTGCTTGTAACTAGCGTCCTTGGTGGTCCTTAAACATGACTGTCTCTCTGCCATGTTTAATCTTTTCCTTATATGAGTTTGTATCCAAATTTCTTCTTCCTTTAGAGACTCCAACTATATTGCATTTAGGGTTCACCCTCGCAATCTCATTTTAACTTCATCAGCTCTGTAAAGACTATCTCTAAATGGTTATATTTTGAGATACTGGAATTTAGCATTTCACCATGGATTATTTTTTAGAAGAAGCAATATAGTTCAGCTCCTAACATTCATACACCCTCACATTTCAGGTTGAGGAAATTAGATAAATTGTACGAGTGTTAATAAAGGAAAGGAAATTGGGAGGGAAGGGCAGTTTATGAGGAGCTAGAGAAATAAAAGAAGGGAATGGATCATGTATGGCCAGGATAAAGTATCCAAACACTGAGTTTATTCATTGGCTACTGATATTGCAGGTTATATTAGTCACTTTTCTGTTGCTGTGATAGAAACATTGACCAAAGCAATTTATAGAAGGAAGAGTTTATTTGAGCTTACGGTTCCAGGGCAATTACAGTCTGTCATGGCAGGGAGGCATGGTGGCTGGAGGTG